GCTCGCCGGCATATTCCGGGTGGAAGCGAACACAATGAAACTCGCAAAGGGCTCCGGGCGAAACTCCGTGCTAGCCTGAAGAGAGACCGCGAATCCTGGTGGTCTCATCGTGCATCAGAGATGGAAATGGCCGTTGCCCTTGGTAACCATCGGCAGTTATTCCGTCTTATACGGGAAACGGGCAGCAGGTGACCTGATGTTAGTGAAACTATACGTGACGAGAGTGGACAGCCTATCCACAACTTATCAAAACTCTTAGAGCGTTGGGCTGAGCACTATAAAGGGTAATTTAATCGGCCGGAATAGTTAGATTTCTCGCCGGCCAGTGATCGCCCCGCTCCGTGGGCTGTCCCTTTGGATTCATCCTTTCGCTCACAAGTCGAACGTGAGATCGGACTGTTGAAGTTGAACAAAGCCGCGGGACCTGATGATCTTCCTCCAGCCCACTTCAAATTCGAGGGACCTGCTCTTGGGGATGATTTACACGAGTTACTAGTCAAAATGTGGGCGCAGGAGACTCTCCTGACCGACTGGAGCCGCTCAGTCATAGTCCCAATTTTCAGGGGAGGCTCACGATCGGAATGCGGCAGCCATAGAGGAATCAATCTGATCTCCATCGCCTCCAAATTGCTTGCCCCTGTCATCCTTCACAAACTGACTGGCACTTGTGAAAGCCAGATTCGTGAAGAGTAAGCTGGATTTCGTCGAGGTGGCGGCTGCATTGACCACATCTGCACCTTGCGTCAGTTGTTGGAGCAACGTCACATATATTGGCGGCCCACCGTAGTCGTGTTCCTCGATATCAAAGGTGCATTCGATTCGGTGGATAAATATGCACTTTGGGACTGTCTACTCAGGAGAGGTGTACCTGAGAAATATGTGAATATTATCCGAGCATTATATGCTCGTAGCTCGGGCAGAGTGAGGGCTTACGGCAAGTTGTTGTCGCCCTTTAATATCTCCAGCGGCGTGAGACAAGGATGCCCGCTGTCACTTTTCCTTTTCAACTTCACTGTTGACGAAGTCATGGAAATCGCGTTCACAGGACACGACTTTGAAGGTGTGGATCTGCTCCCAGGAGAACGACTTCTTGATTTAGAGTATGCTGATGATATTGCCCTAATCTGTGACAGTTCACAAACGTGCCAAGCGGCACTGGACCGATTAGCACTAGCTGTCCGTTACTTCGGACTTTGCTTCGCACCCTCGAAGTGCAAAGTGTTCATCCAAGATTGGTCTGGACCGCCTCGTTCGCTGACCCTTGGTGGGGATCAGCTAGAAGTCGTTCAGAAATTCAACTATCTGGGAAGTTTTATCAGCGCCCGTAGGATTGAAGATGAGTTCACGAACCGTGTAGCAAAAGCTCGGGGCGCTTTTGCTAACCTTCGCCACTTATGGCGCCGGCGCGACATCACTCTTGCCCTGAAGGGTAGAGTGTACAATGCAGCGGTACGTTCAACCCTACTGTACGGTTGTGAAACCTGGCCTCTTAAAGCAACGGACCTGAAGAGGCTAGTTACGTTCGACCACCGGTGTCTTCGTAATTTTGTTTACAGCTGGTGGGAACACCGCGTGAGCAACGAGCGTGTCCGACGCCTTGTTTACGGCACAGGAAAAGGAACTGAACCGCTCAGCACCGTTATTTCACGCACCAGGCTCCGATGGCTCGGCCACGTGTTACGCATGCCATCCCACCGACTCTCGCGACGTGCGTTGTTTGCGCGCCGGGGGTGTGGATGGAAGAAGAGGAGAGGTGGCCAAGCGATGACTTGGTCGAGAGGAATGAAGGCCCCCACTTCGGAGCTGGTCTCGGTTGGAGCGTCTCGGCTCCCTGGTTGGGGTCCGAAAGACGATGAACACGTTTGGTTGGACACACTTGTTTTATGTCTAGGAGCCGACCTCGGTTACGTTCGTGCTGTGAGTTTCTTTGTCCCACCCCATCTCTCTTAGCCTTCTCCTCCAACCACGATCTTATTATTTAGCCTTATATAATTTTGCATGGTAATTTTTTTTCTTTGATGTACAGTAGGCGGCTGGTAGCTTACCAGAACGATGCCCATCCGTTACCGGTAGCTCAGCCGACTTGCAACAGTTGCTTTTTTTCTCCTTTTTTTCTGTGTTTTGCGGCACAGTAGCTGAGGTGTTCCCCACCTCTAGCTAACGTGTATGATGATGATGTTAAGAATTGGACAAGACCATTTTGACACTTCGCTCCCGTGCCTTCGTGGCTGTCGCAGTATGATTAATAGGGCGTTAATTTTCACTGCAGATCGGGAGCCACCTTTGTATTTTGGTGCCATTATCGAGTGTTTCCACTGTGGTGGGAAATAATACTGTTTAAGGATAATGTGAAGACGTTTAATATCAGCAGAGGAGTGCTTTTGCCTCCATACTTGATGACAGCTGGAGGAATACCATCGGGTCCTGTCTGAAATGATGGTTTTAAGGAGAGTATACTCCTTCGAACATCACTCAGACTGATAAGAATATTCCAGAGCTCTTCGTCTGTCTCCCGTTTTGATAGAGAATGGGAGATACTGATATCTGTATTGAATGAGGCTGCATAATAAGAGTTCGGTGCTTTAGGTATTTGGCTAACTTCATCAGTTATTGAGTCATATTCTAATGTCAGACTTTGGATTTAATCGTTCTGCTTTGCAATCCTCCTGTTGAGGTTTCACCAATTTTGCGTCTTTTTCAGATTTTTTAGTGCTTTGTTTTCGTCAGTGATTTCCGCTTGCAGTACCTTATGTTTTAGTTTCAGTGGAGTCTCATGAATTTGCAGTACTGTTGTAAAGGCATTGCTTTTGCGATATTGGGTCCTGAGTTCCTTCAATTCGGTGGCAACTTTGTATCATGGCTTGCGTTGACTACCACTGTTCTGGGGGTTGTTCCACAGTGTGGGTGCTACTAGGTCAGTACAGGTGATAAGATTGTCTATAAGTTTGTTCGTGGCTAAGGTTGGATCCTGTGTTAAGAAGAATTTGTCACAACTCAGGGTACGGAGGAGATTGTCAAATATGATCCAGTCAATGAGATGGAGGCAACGAGTAGGCTTGTCAGTCACTCGTAGTTTGTTTGCTATTTTAATGTTCATGCTGGATGACAGTGTTGTGGTTGCAGCCCATCAGTGGGCTGTCAGTAGTGACGAGCACTGACAGAATGCTCATGGTAAATATCCGATCTAATGTGTTGGCTCCTCTTGTAGGTTGATTAACGTGTTGAGTCCAACCGTTGATCTGAATGCTATGGATTATTTCCATGAGGCGCCCTGACACTTTAAGTGTGGGCGTCGTCCAGTCAATTTGCGGTAAGTTGAAACCTCTACATACAAACTTATGTTTCTAGCAAATATTCGAGGCAGTGCTGATAGCATCAACTAGTTGTTCCGTATGGTGATTGATAGTTGTAGGAGATCTATAGACGCAGCCCCTTAGTAGTTCACTGGAAGCGATTGCCAACCAAAATGAATCTTCTAGATCATTGAGAACCAGAAGATCAAAAGGCATCACTGCGATATCATCTCAAAGGTAGATAGCGGATCCTCCTCCTTCTCTGCTCAGATGATCTTTTCGAAACAGGTGGTACCCAGTAACTTGAAGCCGTGAGTCACTTACGTCTGAGTTGCATCATGTTTCAGTGATGAAAACAAAAGGGGGTTTTAAGACAGACGAAAGAAGATGCAATATACGTAGTAGTGAACGAATGTTTACACTATCGGAATCTAACGGATATACGTAAAGAGGTGCTGCGGGAAGTGTTAAGAGGAACTGGTTGCTAGTATTGTAATTGGTGGTGATTTGATTGTATTGGTTCCAGCGGAGAAGATGTTCTAGTACTGAGATCATCTGTTGACTCATGGGGCCTAGTGGTGAAAATCCCAGTGGTGGGGGTAATGTTGGAGGATATGGTGTCATTTTTTTACTAATCGATATCCGATAGATAAACTTTGGCGGTTCCTCTGCCGTTCGACGGCCTCTATGTTGAGCTATGTTTACAAATCAGGCCGCATCCTATCAGAAATCTCAATCCAAAATATATTCGCTACTCTTTTTACTAATATCCGCACAAAAGAGTTGTGTACAGCGATATTTTTGATGTTAATCCGGAACGCGATCAACCACTCTAAGTTTGCATATCCCACTGATCGCCTCAGCCTCAGGCCTGAACTGTTAACAGTCTGACGCACACAGCCGGATTATCGCACGTGAATACATTTAATGATGAAAATGACAATGCACTCTTATTTGCGTCTGTGGATTAGCTAGGACACTTCAACAGCCATCCGCTATTTCGGCGGTTGTCCCGGAATGCAAATAGTCGCTCTTGTACAAACGATTTGTGTTACCCTACATGGACGTTTCCGATAAAGCCGCAACCGTCTCTAACCGTCGTACGTCAACGCGTTAGGGCGCTCCCACAGCTCCCTTAACTATCTGCGCTGGGGCAACGAGAAACCAAATAATTCACTGACAAAGAACAAAACGGCCTCAAATCTGTCGTTGAACAACTCTGTGTGTGTGTGCATGTATGTGTGTGTACAAACCAGCACGCGCGGTAGGAAACTGCTCATCACTCTAGGGCTTGCTAATTTACTAACTGACAGCAATTCGCTTTGGGTGTCTATCAGCTGTGAACATCTTTTTGCTCCTATGATGTCATTCGTCGAAAAACGAACGGTTTAAAGGACGTTCTGTATACCGCTAGCCGCAGGGATCCGCGGGATTTCCCGAAATAATTCCGTTAAAAATTTCGGACGTGATCATTTTATTCTATAGTTCGACGACAAACCTGCAGTGAAAATTTGCTAAATCATATCTGATAGTCTACATTGATCTTGTTATCGGCCAATGCAAAGCAAACTCCTTCCAAGAAGGAAACTGGGTTTGTCAGAAACTTGAAATGTCAGTGAGCTAAGCTGTCAAATATCAGAAAGGTAGTGTGGTAACCTCCTGTGATGAGATTGCTCAAGACTGAGGGGGTCATTCTCTGTCCACACAGGCTCACATAACACAGAATTTGTCTTCCGGGGGGATGCGAAAAGCAAATCATGAGACATGGCCCTTTTGCAGTCATTTCGGAAGTCGCTATTCTCCGAAACTGGCCAATCAGAAAGAGAGGCCCATTGGTGCGGTCCCACCCAGTGAAGTTTAGAAGGAAAGCATGGAGCTTTCGGTGTTTGACGAGTGTGCTCAATCGCCTTTGCGCATTGAAGAGAAATTATCTGCGAGGTAACAACCTGACTGTTCTCTTTACTTTATTTTATCCAAATTGACTTATCAAAGTACTCAAATTTGTGGTTTGTTCTGCAATTTTTGTAGTTTATTATTTGGCTTCATTTTTTGCATTTGTACCTATAACATCAAGGTAAACCGTTAGCTGAAGACAAGAGCATGTATAGGTGCGTCGTAGAAATATTCATCGTCAAATTCTAATATCTTAATAGTCGGTATCAGATTCTTCCCTTCAGGAAGCGTTTCACAAAGTGTCGATGTTTGATTTCTAGTGTATAACGACGGTCTAGTACCCTGGCATAGCGAAGACATCTCTCGCCCTGCTTCTCCCATTTGCCACAACTTATCCGTGTGAAAATGTATTTTCACATTACACCTATACAAAAACAAAGTACCGCAATAGACTAGAAGCGGAACCAGATATGAGGTTGCAATTCCCATCAATAAAACCGGGCATCAAAAAGTCAGCACTGCATGCCAGAAACAATTTCATCCGTCAATTTAAGGATTGTTGTAAGTTGTTTTTCTACCTACATTTTATATCTCTTCTTTTTACTAATTTAACTTAGCACCCGGGTTAATTCAGTGTACAGTAATGAACGTTTTCAGGACACTCCGTCTCATTTTCATTTTATTAAAGCCTTGTGAGCTTCTACTAAAAAGGGGTCCACGGCCCAAAACGTTTGAGAACCGCTGGATTAGAGATAGGCGAGTGCTTTCTCTTTCAAATTATGATAGCTGTCACGGAGGAGCCAAATCCTATTCATAATTCCAGCACGCATCTTCTAGAATGCAACATTTTGCCAGTGTGAAACATGGAGGTAACTGTAGTCAATGAGGGACCACATCCGTTATGTGGTAGTCTTGTATAACAGACATTTTTCGCTTTTACGATGAGTACGCTTGCCGGGCGATAGCCCAGCATCTAAACCACTGCCACCGAACCATTCGTTTAGGTGGGCTGGTTCGGTGCCATCTAGGTGACACAATGAGGAAGTTGTTCGGTAAGCCATCCAGAATATCACTTTGGATAGTAACCACTGGAGCTCGGAATATTTTAAGTGCGAAGGTAATGATACACCCTTGTCTTGCGAGCTTTCGCCTCACATTTGTTCACTGCTTGCCTTGCAAGCTTGATGGGAACGCAGATAATCGACATGCACTGACCGTTGACGGAACGTTGGTCCGTTCTGTGACGCTGCCAATTAGTGAAGTCGGCCCGATGTGCCTCGTTCCGCTCAGTAGCTGCGAATCATATTTATTCGACAATCAAGTATCGACCTCAAACATGAAGCTATCCCGACAGTGTTCACAACGGGTGCGCTTATACCCACTATAGTAATGAGGTGTATGTCGAATATTCTTGATATATATTTAGCCGACCAATTGTGATCCGACGGCTGCGGCGAATAACAGCATTTGCCTTATCAATTCTAACCCTAATTACACTGCACAGCGATTAGCAACATGTTCGCTGTACCTAATAAGTCTTGTGTAACTACTTATCTGGCAGCTATACTGAATTGTGGTTTGGTATAACCAACTGTCAGATTAACTTCATGGTGCCACGAATGCGCTTTTTTCTGTGGCCAGAATAATGTGATTTTTTGCAGTCTTTTGTTTTTACTCGAGTGATATTAGATGAGGCATTTTTAATTCTAAATAAATTTTGCAATCTTCCATATGCGGGTTTCCGGATATTATGGTTGGCAGCATCCGGTTTCGGATTTGCCTGTCACTGTGGCCAGCCACAGGACGCCTGCGCCTACAGAGTGACCATGGGTGGCTTACGCTGCGCCACCCACAGCTCCAACCACACATCCCATATCCAGTGTAAACCCAAAGGAATAAGACCGGGAGGCATGTGGATGGGAGCCACGTTTCATCAACGGAGCCGACCCACACTCCTTCACAGGCAAACACAAGCACGGTGTATTTGAGAATCAAGCGCACACAAGGCGGTGACTGGACTGTAGCCCGCTCCACATTGAGTGCATGGAACCGCTCTTTGAGCCTAACACGACCACAAGGACCGTGCACCTCGTCTCCTCCAGCAACGACCAACTGTCTCGTGGAGCCAGTATGGACGAGGTAGTGGGTAATAGACAGGTAGGCACCTTGTCAACATGCACCTCAAGCGCAGTCACATCGGGGATATCAAGAAACAGGCAATCACTTGAAACGACAAGCTGAAATAAAATAAATCCAATAGTGCATACAGATACGGTGGCATAACTCTTCGCTAAATTACCATATTAAGTAAGTTGGTTAGTAACAAACCCGCGATAAGTAAAAAATGTTCACAAGCTTCTTAAAAATGCTACAAACGCAACAAAGGTATCGAAGATAGGCGCAATTAGCGTAAGCAACGTGACCAGTTAATAGAAGATTATTCAGGTAGGCAGAACAAACCAAATAAAGTGGAATGAAATTTATCCAGCTTACAACGACCTAGTTTAAGTGTAAGTTGGTTTAGCCCAACTGCGGTGAAGTAGCATCAAGAATGCAACATCAGCCTCAGCATGGGGCACCCGGATATTATACTGTTGTAGTTAAATGTTGCAGTGAACATTAGTTTCACAACGCTTTGATCTACTCTGCACAAAGTGATATCTCGCTTAAATAACTTGAAAATTCCCATTTAAGTCTTGAGAACGAAAGCACCTGGTGAGCAATTAGTTTCAATGATTCATCATCAGACCATTACAATCATATGGGGACTAAAAGTAACAACCGACTCAGTTAGTTCAAAACGAATAGATCACATGAGGGTCAAGCTCAGAGAGGAGAAAACGTACTAGGTCTCCGTGGGTTAATTGTTTGCCACCGAGTCTGACCGAAGGCAGTCGACTTGGGCGTCTTCGGCCTTCGCTGACCAGGGAAGCTGGAGAGCTTGGACCAGATTCTTCTACGATCATAAGGACGGATGGAACAATCGAATGCAAATTGCTTCAGCTGTCGCAAACGTATGAAGGTGGTAACCTTTCGATCGGTGTGGTGGAACCTTGTAAACTCTTCGGAAGGCACGTTTCAGATCAACCTCATAGACGGTGTCCACAATATGGGCTAGAATGGCACTACTAACCCATATTGTGGACACCGCCTATGAGGTGGATCTGAAACGTGCCTTCCGAAGACTTTACAAGGTTCCACCACACCGATCGAAACGTTTCCACCTTCATACGTTTGCGACAGCTGAAGCAATTTGCATTCGATTGTTCCATCCGTCCTTATGATCGTAGAAGAATCTGGTCCAAGCTCTCCAGCTTCCCTGGTCAGCGAAGGCGGAAGACGCCCAAGTCGACTGCATTCGGTCAGACGCGGTGGCAAACAACTAACCCACTGTGACCTAGTAAGTTTTCTCGTCTCTGATCTTGACCCTCATGCGTTTTGAACTAACTGAGTCGATTTTTACTTTTAGTCCCCATATCATTGTAATGGTCTGATGATGAATCATTGAAAGCAGTTGCTCATCAGGTAGCCTTTCGTTCTCGAGATATCGATATAGACTAATTTGCCTTTCCTGTCGTTTGATCTGGGTAATCATAGGGTCACTTATGTGACTGGATAACTGCTATACCTTAGGCTAGTGTAAGTGCATCTGGTAAAATGCCGCAACTGCAACTGGCGCGTTCGACATCTTTTGCATTTCCAATTGTTTACGTGCATTTGGAGTAATCAAAGCAATAGCCAGTTTCATCAAGCACCTTAGTCGTTCATCCTTCTTGCGATCTCCAATTTGGGACACCTTTTGCTATGGATAGTTAACAGGATCCAGGCACCGTTGTCAACCACTCAACAAAAGAATCTTATTAGCCAGCACTCTCTTTTTCTTATCTTGTCGCCATAACTGCGTATTTTATCATAGATGTCCACGCCATCGTTTTCTTGGCCTTAAAACACACTATACTCTTGAAGTTGGTCTTTGGAGTACTCACCGTGTGATTGATTGGATAGCGACATGCCATATGTAGTGAAACCACAGTTTGCTTTGAAATAGGCCTCTGTCATTTCGATCACTCGGACCGTATCTAAAAATGCAGTGTTTGCGGAGAGCAACATCCAAACCCATACATGCTGTAACTTACCGGAATAATTTTTAGAGATACTCCAAATGGGACTGGGATCCCATAGTCTGTATGACAAGGGATAAACAGTAACACATTACATTCCCTGTGAACACGGTTACGACTCTTACCGAAGCCGGTGGTAATTAGCTAGTTCCAGTTTTGACACCTTCACTTGCAGTGGCACCACTGGCGTTTGGCACTGCGCCGTCCACAACTGTACAATCCATCTCTTGCGGAGTAGGATCAGTAGGTGTACGATTGGGAGCAATCTTTGGTTTAGAGCAAATGCCACTCCCTTTCGAGGTATGGCAGTCGTTGTCGTGTGAATCCGCACATAGCTCTCGATTATCAGACAGTGCTAATGGCGCAACCTACGCCACGATTGAGTGACCGCATTCCTCGAACATCTAATCCGTGGGGAATAGATTTTTACTAGACATTGTTGTACAGCACGTGAATACACTCGTGATAAGCGCACACAAGCTAGTGGTTAGGCTGCAGCTTTTTCCTTGATGATGGGACCACTCTTTTGGGTTAACAACTATCACGATCGATGGGCACCTCGTAACTGCTTGCAACGATCGATATGGTCACGAAGCCAAATTCGGCTGTTGCTGTTCTCGTTAGATTATTTTACACTACCGACTGCGCATTCCATGTTTTATTTTTAACCTTGAAGCAATTTGTTTTTCTGATCAAGTCTCAAGGTCAACGTTGTCCTACTCCGTCAACCATTTGAAAACGTCACGTGTTACTGCCTTAAATCCGTGCTTCATCGAATACAGCCATAAAGTCAGGAACACCAGAGGTATTAGGGATGAATGTCTTGGAAAAAAGCGAAAACATCGTGCAGACTGGCAATCTGGCCTCAGTCGTTGTTCTGTCGATATAGCGCAAATCCCACTGATACTTTCCAGTAATGTTCTC